TTTTGTGAATTTCAGGATTTATTGTTTAAATTTGATTGAAAAGTCTTTAAATAGTCTAAAATAAAATATTTAAAGTGACAACATGCTTACTGGTCAACTTGTCAAACTAAATTGTCAAATTATATTTCTAGCCAATAATGTTAAATGTTCTGTCTGTCTATCTAGCCATCTCTGAAATTTTTGCTAACTACATTTGTCTACCAATAAATAATACCCAACTAATCTTGTGCCATGTAGGCTACATAATGTTTGTTTTTATTTTGATTAAATTGTAACGTTTTAGTGACACACACTATTAAATGGTGTATTCTGAAGTGATGTAAAGTCTGAAATCACAGGTTAGACCACACACGGCATCTGAACATATCATCAGTGGATAAAGCACTGGAGTGCATGTAGACAAGACCATTATTTTTCGTCTGCACAAAACTATATTGCCAGAACCCATCCGTTATGTTTCTGGGAAGTGAAAGATGCCAATCATCCTGTTCCTTTTCCTTCAAGTTCACGCACCAAATACCAGACTTCATTTTTCTCCATTTTCTGATTCAGTCTTAATCAGATACGAATACCTTTGCAGCAAACGTGCCACCATGGTAGAGAGCAACTTGAACGGTTTTGTTTTTTATTGGTCTGACAGAAAATGCTGAAACAATACACAAAACATTCAAGTGGCAAAAACTGGCTTCTTGGGAGCCCTTGCATGGCAATCCAATTTATTAAACTACAGATGCTCGGTTATACAAAATTGCACCACTTTTAATTAAGGCTTTTAAGTTGACACTTGGCCACCCACCCAACCCATCAGAAGCAGACGATGCTGCATTTTAAATACTGCGCCTCTGTCTCAGTCCTGGTCCTCACATTAAGTTTTTATTTTCTTCAGCCCCCCCCCCCTCAAATCCTAAAAAGCACCAATGCATTTGCTCGCGGTACAACACACGACTCGTAATGTTAACCTGTGCCCGCTGCTGCTCGGACACTCCCTAGGAGTCGTGTTCTTCACTTTACACAGTACAAATCTTCAAAGCATTCATAAACAATTCCTTACGTGTACATACCGCATGCTACACCCTGTAAAG